TGCACACTCGTGCATATTTAATAAAAAAATTGCCACACCAAAATGTTACATACAAATTATTAGGAGGAAAGATTAAATATTTTGATCTGTGCAAAAAAAAAACAAGTCGAACGACAAATATTACCTTCAAATGTAAACTATTTTTTTTTCACTGACGAAGCACCGTCATCCTATTTCGCATGGAAAGTGTCAAGAACGCGTTATACACTAACTAGAACATAAAAAATATAAAAAATTATTTACTATTTATTTGAATTTACAATTCATTAGGGAGCATATGCACCTGAGAGCCAAAACGACCCTCCCTAAGAGCATCTGCAACCACGACTGCCTAACTTGGACCCGTATATGTCCGCGGACAATGACTGGATGCCCCCATTTCTCCCTGTCCACAACCGTGATCTGCAAATGTCTGCCCCCAAATCCATACAAAAGCATGCAACATGATGAAATTTAGTAGATCAACATGCGACATGTAGAACATAGCATATCCAACATATTACACTGAGTACAATCCGGCCTAAAAGAGCCAACAAAGCTAGAATAATAGTAAATAAAATGGAAGGGGTCGACGGAGTTCACCACTTCATCGCCGGCCGCTTCCCCTTGGGATTTCGGGAGCGGCGGTTGTCCTCGGCGGTAGGTGGAGCATTGTTGGTGGAGGCAGGGCCGTTGTCCGAGGAGGAAGAGAAGATGATCCCGGCGTCCGGGCTCTATCGATCGCTTGCCTCCTGACAGGAGCGGGACCGGACCGTGTGGTGCAGCTAGCTATGAGCCGGAGCGAAGCTACAGCTGCCCACCAGAGTTGTCGGCGACGCGGTCGAGAAGGAGCTCCCGCGCCATGTCGATCCGCGAGCGGCAGAGGGCAATGCGGAGCGTGAGCTCGTCGTCATCCGATGCAGGAAAGCTCGAGTCCTCCCTGGTGAGCGTCATCCAGTCGATGTCAGACTCACTGCCGGATTCGTTCCCGGCCATGGCGGAGGGGAGGGAAGAGAAAGGGCAGGAGATGGCAGTGTAGCCGAGAGGACGAGAGAGTGAGGTTTGACTAGCGTTTGCCGTCAAGGTGTGGTATTTGTGGGGACAGTGGTCAGGGCGAAGTGGGCCAACCTGGGCCGGTCCAATGTGGCAGCAGCGTCCGGGTTTGTCCGGTCCGCCCCCGGGTATGGAAGGTGCCCGCGTGCCCGGACGTTTGCGCTAGCTTTGCCAGGTCCGGTGTTTCTTTCTGTCCGGACAGTGACAGTCATGCCACTCGATGTTTAAAGAGGGAAAGAACTCACCGCTCAAATAATCTAGACAAAATATACTTGACGATGATTAATTATGGCATGCACCATACACACCACTGTTCCAGCCAGCTACACATCATCAAAATAGATACAGCAGTATTACACACTTCCGTGCGTGAGTCAACAGGAGTCAACTGAGCAGCCAACAGGACTACTAGTAATTAGCAGGCACAAACTGGAACGTGCTGGAAGCTTAACACGCGCGAATGCATGCTATGCATGCACACCAAAGTGGAATATCCGTTCCTCCGTCCCGTCCGTACTACATCCATGGCCATGAATGCATGGCGTAGTACGTGTGATGGTACTAGTAAATTAATTAATTAACCACTAGCGGAGTGGGCCAGTAACCAATTGGTCCCGTACAGTAGTAGTGGGAGCAAGCGTCCATCCATCAGCGGGCGATCCCTGCGTGGAGCGTGGCGTTGTAGCCGACCTGCCCGATCTCCCACCGCAGCTTGGGCGCCGCCGGGTCCTCCTCCTCCACCGCCGCGTACTCCTGCACGCATGCACGCGGCACGCCTCAATCATTATCAGTTAATCACATCAAAAAATCTATTAAGATCAATCAACTATTCTGAATCAAAATTATGAAAGGATGCCTACTAGCTAACTCAATCGATTTTTCTACCTAAGCAAAACGAAGACCAGGCCTGCCAGAGTACAACACACCGAGCAAGCATGGCAACTTTTGGTCAGCACGCGAACTAAACTGATGAAGAAAGATAGTTGAACTCTCAAGTCTCAACTCGACACGTGGAGCTAGCAAAGCTAGCACGACTAAACAGAGAGTAGAAGTAGCTTTTTTTTTCTACCCGCAAACAAAAAGAGAGTAGAAGTAGCTAGTAGTAGGCGCCCGGAGCTGGGAAGAAGCTCGGAGATGCCCTCGTGCACACGGAGACGACGGAGACCCAGGCCAGACAAGTCGCGCTCGTTTTCTTTTGGGGATGGGGATTGGGAGGTGCATGCATGCAATGGACCGGACGGACCAAGCTAGGCATTCATGCAAGAAGTTGACAGCACGAAGGAAGGTGCGTGGTCAGTTAGTTTTTACAGTACCTCGAGCTTGTGGACGAGGTCCCTGGCGTCGGGCGCGCTGACGAAGATGTGGCGCTGGGATGGTCGGATGAAGCCGTCGTCCACCGCCTTGTCGATGAAGGCCAGCAGGAAGTCGTAGTACCCATCCACGTTCAGCAGCCCCACCTGCACCCATCCGTGACCCGTCCGCCATCAGCAAGCTAACTAGAGCAGCCAGGACCTGTTAGCTGATGAATAACTTAACTGGTTTGGTGTGGATGCCGAGCTGCGCCCAGGTGATGACCTCGAGCAGCTCGTCCAGGGTGCCGTAGCCGCCGGGCAGTGCGATGAAGGCGTCGGCGTTGCGCGCCATGGCCGCCTTCCGCTCGTGCATCCCTGACACCGCCACCACCTCCCCCACCGTCTCCCCGGTGATCTGTTCCACTTTGCATGTAGTATCAATTAGTAGTTTGTTTTAGTACAGTACATTAGCACAAGCCCCGGTGATCTCGTACGTACCTCCTTGCCCATGAGAGTGGTAGGTATGACGCTGCACATCAAAGAAAAGCAGAACGTGACAGCCGTGAGCAACTTAATTGGACATGGATACTGTTAATTAGGCCAGTTGGAGAAACTTCAGTGTCCACAGAAAGGTGGCTACAGTAGTTCGAGTAGAATAAGAGAGAAAAAAAGCAGACGATGTGTCCAATAATGCAAGAGGATGCGTATATGCACGGATCGACTCACCCGATGACGTGGCCGCCGCCCTTGTGGACGGCCTCTGAGACCTCCCCCATGAGCCCCAGGCTGCCCCCGCCGTACACCAGATCCATCCCACGAGCAACCTGCTACCACACACGCATGCTCGACATGCTTAACTAACTAACTAAACATGATAGTACAAAAAACGTGTGTAATTAACTTGATCGGCAACGTACCAGCTCCTTGGCGAGCTCGACGGCGGCGTCGCGGTAGCTGCTGCGCTTCCCGGAGCTGCTCCCGCAGAACACGCACACCCGCCGGAAACGAGGCCCCTCCTCCACCTCCACGCCGGCGCCCTCACCAACACCGCCGCTGTGGTTCTTGGCCGGCACCGCCGCCGCCGCGGTCTCCCCCATCCCGCAGCCACCGCCGCCCTGCATGCCTCCTAGCTAGGTTAGCTGCCGATTGCCGTACGTACCGGGTGTGGCAAGGAAGGAGAACAGTTGTGTGGTGCCGTGCGCGCTCTCGCGTGTGGACTGTGGACTGCCTGCGGCGACTTGTTCTAACAAGGAAGCTTCAAGGCGGGTGCCGGCAGGGCAGACGGGTGGATGGGTATATATCATGGCGCAAGGGAGCAGGAGTTCGTGATGAATGGTACACTACCAACAGGAGTACACGTGTTTGTTTTACCGCAGTTAACTCTGTCATCCATCGCGATGGAGCATGTGTATATACGTGGGGTACAGTACATACCAGTGCTGCGCATGGCCGAGCGGAGGCCCCGAGCGGACGGTCCAAAATGCTAGACCGGCCGCCCGTCCAATCAGGGAGGGTACGTCGTAGCTAGCTTTTGCTTCCTCGCAGCTACTAGCTGTTATGACCTAGCTGAGCTGCCTGCCTCCCGTAGTACCTCTCCAGTGACTTGAATATACGCATTGATAGTTCAACTCGCCGTCCGTCGAGGCACGCAAAACGTGTAGCCAAGTGGTAGTGGGACTAGTTATCTACAGCGCAAAGCTATGCGTACTCTGATCCATCCATCCAGTCCTAACTAATCTGTGAAACTGCTCGATATGTAGATGGATGGTGCCATGGGTATGCCTGACAACCCTCTCAGGACCTGACCTTAGCCAATCTTAATCTCGCTTCTACCAATCTTAGCCACTCCCCCTGTTCACTTTTATAAGACCTTTTAGACAGCTGAAATTAAACTGTTTTGAGTGTTGTCTTAAATATCTAAACGATTTTACAAAAGTGAATGGAGGTAGTAGTATATACTACCTCCGTCTTGGTTTATTGGTCCCCTTTGTAAGTTGTGTCAAATTTTGATCAAATATTTAACTAACAAAATGTTAATGCATGTCAACAAAAATTATATCATTGCATTCGCATCTGAACATAGTTTCTAATGATATTATTTTTTGTGACATGCATTACAATGAGGACCAATAAACTAAGACGGAGGTAGTATATCTTAATTTTATCTGAGTAGCTAGACGGCCTGTCAACTAGAGTTATCTGTATCTTGCAAACAAAGGAAACTAGAGTTATTAGTATCTGGCAAACAAAAAAACTGGAATAATTAGTATATCTTAATCTTATCTTAGTAATTCAATTCCCTGGTCAAAATCCAGAAGATAAAAAGATGACAAAATTATAGACTGTGTCATGTCAATTTCGAGGATTTACTCTTGTAGTCTTTTTACTTTTTTAGGGGCTGTAGTCTTTGTACTAGTAGCAGTTATGTATGCAAAGTATGTGAGTTTGTTCGGACCCCATATGATTTTACCGTTCTGGCCTTCCTTGGCTCGGTTTGGTCGCAAAATCGTTTTCTATTGGCTTCGCTATGTGGTGGAATGGGCTTGATCAATCAGGTGGCTCCAGCTCACCAGGTGAGGCAATACACCACCTAGTATTTCACATCAATTTTGGATTCCTTTATCTGTTTCTACATGTATTTTAGAATATATTTAACCTCCCCCAAATATTTTTTGTTTGTAAAAAATGAGATATTTTCAACTTATTTTTCACAAACATTTCATAGTCTTTAATTTAAAAATCAATTATTTCAACGACATTTCAAAAGTCATTGTGAGTGAAATTTCCGCGTTCCCAATTTTTTTAAATATGTTTTGTTAATAATTCCACAAATTTTGATTATTCCAAGTATACTTCAATCACCTTCAAAAATATTAAATTGTTTCAAAAAAATCCAGAACTATAATGTGTTATTGCTTACACAATTTGATATATTCTACTCATATTTAAATCAATTTAATAACCATTTCTTATAGTTAGCAATCATTTCAATGTTTCAGAAAAAGGTTGCAAATACCATTCGTAAATATTCACACAAAATTTTGAACAAGTGCAAGCGGGGCCCACATTCATGTCTTCATATTTGAAGAGTAAGGCAAACTACATATATGCATTATCCTATAAATTCAATAAAATAGCTCACCAATCTCAAAGCATTTGTGGATAGCAAATAAAATTTTTCATTTTGCGCCTAGTACTAAACAAGCATTCTAGCTTCTCCGAGGCAGCTAGCCAGCATGGGCCAGATATTCTCCTAGCGTAGGATCGCTAATTCGGATCATCCTTGCTGGCGAAACGATATTTTCAGAAAAATGACTAAGTACCCAGAAAATCTTTAATTTTTTTAAAAAAATTATATTGTTTTCAAATTAAATCACACACACATATTAGTGTTGTTTGTTTGAACTATAAAATTTTCAATTTCTTTTTATTTTCAAGTTATTTAAGTACCATTTTCAGTGATCCAACTTCTGTATAAATATATTTTGTACAAATCACACACATTTCAATCATTTTAGGCATTTTACATTCAGTTTAAAAATCATTGTTTAAAAAAATCAAATATATAATACATGAATGCACACACGAATTTCAATCATTTTACTCGTATTTAAGTCAATTTAAGAAAATAAATTCCATTGAGCAACCCAACATTACATGGTTTCATGAAAGGCTGCAAATATCATTAGTAAATATTCACATAGTTTATTAGTAACAAATATAGGTGGGGTAAACAAGCATGTACTTTTATTCTCAGAGTAACACAAATATAGGCATTGTATTTTAAACTTTATAAAAGTAGCTCAGCATTCTCAAAGCCTTTGTGGATGGTAGATAAAATTTAAGCATTTAGTACTAAATAAATATTCTAGCTTCTAAAAGCCAACTAGCCAGCAAGGGCAGTGAATTCTTCAACCTGTGGAGAGCCAATTCGGGATATCTATGATGGCAAACAAATGTGTCACAAAAATCCGACCGATCCCACCAATTTTTCTAAAATTTGGAAAAAGAAATTGTTACTAAATACATTCCCAAATATTTTGGATTTTTATTCGAAGTTGTTCAGTTATTTAAACAACATTTAAAAGGTCATTGTTTCGATTGGATTAATTCCAGTGACATTGTTTTCTAAATTTTTATAAGCATATAATTTAAATAATCACACAAAATTTGAATATTCTAGTCATATTTCAATTAGTTTCAAAAGTATATTATTGTTCCGGAAAAGTACACAAATGCAATACATGAATAATCACACTAATTTAAATTATTCATTAAGTATTAAATCAATATAAGAAACATTTCATTCATTAACCAAACATTTCATTGTCTGAAAAAATGTTTGCAAATATCACTAAAAAATATTTTGCATAAATACTGACTCAATTTTGCAGAGTAATACAAACAATATATTGACCGTAATGTAACATTGTTCAATTATTTCAATGACATTCCAAAAGTCATTGTTTTGATTCTAAGTTATCCTTGTGACATTTATTGTTCCAACTTTTCTGATATAAATATGTTTTGCAAATAATCACACAAATTATAATGATTTTAATCAACTTTTGGCCGATTTAAAAATATTATTTACTATGTTCTACAAATATAACACATGAATACTCACAAATTCAAATGTATTACTTGTATATAAACAAGTTTAATAAAAATTGTTATAGTTAACAAACATTTCAATATGTGAGAAAAGTTTGCAAATATCATCCTTAAGTATTCATGGAATATTTGACAAAGTCGAGGTGAGGCCCACATGCATGTAGTTATATTTGCATAGTAATTGAAATTATATATGCATGTGTTGCAAATTTAATAAAATTTGATTACCAACCTCATGGCATGTGCGGATGGCACATACAAATTCTAGGTTTGGCATTTAATTATGAAGAAATATTCAAGTTTCTTCTCCTACAGGAGAAGAGCCAACTCAGATCATCTTTGGTGTTGAATCCCAATCTCACAAAAAATCATAGCAGTCCTGACAGTTTTTAAATTTTGGAAAATAGAAATTTTTAAGTTTAATTTTAATAAATATTTTCAGTTATTCCAATTATATTTGAGAAATTCATCATTTCGATTCTGAGTTATTTTCGTGACATTTCAGTGTTCCAACCTTTTATAGACCTATTTTGTAACTAATCGTACAAATTTTAATTATCCAATTTAGTCATATTTTAATGACTTTCGGAATTATTTATTTATTCAGGGTAGTGAAGACATAAAACCCATGATTACTCACACAAATTTAGTTTAATCATATTCAAATCAATTTAAAGAACCTTTCATTCAGTCATCAAACATTTGAATATTTCAGAAAAGTTTGTAAATATCATTCCTAAATAGTCATACAAATATTCAGTGAGTTCGGGTGGGCCCAACATGGATGTACTTGCATTTGTAGAGTTATACAAACCGTATATGCATTGAGTTGTAAATTGCATAAAAGTGGCTCACCCATCTCAAAGCATGTGGAGATGGAAATACAAATTCTAGGTTTCGGTTTTAGTAATAAACAAATGGTCTAGCTTCGTAGAGCTATCTAGCCAACATGGTCTAGAACTTCTTCAGATTATATCGGTGGAGAACATTTAGATCATGTTCGATGGTCCTAGGAGCATTTTATATTCTTCAAAAAAAAGAACTTTTTCCAAATTATTTTTCACAAACATATTAGAGTTTGTTATTAAAAAAATTCAATCACATTAGCGATATTTCTATCAGCATTGTTTTGATTTTGAGTTACTTTAGTGATATTTCATTATTCCTGAATAGCTACAATGCACTAGCTATTTTTTCTAACCATGCAATCATGCCATGTAAGCAAGTCATGCATGCAAGTTATAACTTTTTCTGGAATTACTCCAAGCGTGCAACGCTACCACATCTTCAATTCATGCATGTTAGTCACAAGTTAATTTTTTTATATTTTTATTAATAACATTTGTGTTGGGTGATTGCATCATAATAATGTAGTTCATTCGTCACAGTTTTGTTAGAAATGATATTCTTTCAACTGCAATTATGTTTCTCTTTTTATATCCTCAACATTTTTTATTGTTCTAGAAGCTTACCTTTTCTTTCTATTAGTTTCAGATATTTTTAGAAA